CCAGTTTGACCCGCCAGTTTCAGAGGAATCTCCTCTGCCATTTTTGGACTCCATGCAATTTGTGGAGGTAATTCACTATCTGACCACCCCCCCCCCCACCAAAAAACAACAACAGCAACAACAACCAGTTTTAGAGGAATCTCCAAATTTGGGGGGACCCCATTTTGGGGTTCCATGCTCATTTCTTCGTTGGGGTACCCATCTGCACGCCCCCGCAGATCGCCTGCTGCACGAACCTGGCCGCCAGCTCCTTCAGGGGCTTGCCCCCGAACTCTGCTCCGAGCTTGGCCCCTCGCAAGGCGGCGTTTTGCGTGAGCAAAAGCGGGCACCTCGCAACCAGAAGCAAAGAAGCTGCAAAAGGTGCGATGTTGTTTGTATTTTTTCTTATGTTAAAAAAGAAGAAGAAAAAGCTCCCTCAGCAGGGTTCCTTTACTTTTTCACCTGAACATTGCCTTGTAAATGGTGGTGTCCCTTCATTTTGGGTGGAAAAAGCCATGTTTCAAATGGTTGCAAACTGTATCTTTCAAGGAGCCCTGTGCAAATTGTGACGACATTCCCAAACCCGACTTTGGAGATCCCCGCTGGAAGGAGTTGCGTCGTGAACTCGCTCGTTTTCCCCAGCAGGCGAGGCAGGACGAAATCAGACAATGATGCTTCCTAACAAGGGGTCCCGATTTGTTTTGGGATTTCTTCCCGTTTTGTTTTGGAAATATTCCACGAATAAATAGCCCTCCCCTAAGAAGTGTGGACACATCAGCCAGAAACTTGCGTAGGATCCAGGCTTGGCAAGCTCGTAAGGGAGTCCCCGCCCTTCAAGACCAGTCCGCTCATATCAAACCCCCTTCCCAAGGACCAGGGACGCATCACGCAGAAAGCACTGGGAACTTGCTCGCGCTTGTCCATTGAAACTGCCACGCTTCGGCTTTGCGAGGGGACCCCTGGGTCATTCCCTGCGAAGAACCAGCAAGTCTTGAGGTTCCCTTGAAAGAGAAATGGCTCGACAACCCAGACCTCCACCTTGACAGGGGCTGGTACCCGCTCCGTCCTGCCTAGTGCCCGCGACCTCCCGAGAACGTCCCGGGTGAGAGGAGGAGCCTGCAACCGGAAGTTCACGCTGGCCCGGATTCAGAAACAACTCATTTAGTTGTGTCCCTCTTTAGGCCCCGCAAAAAAGTGGCTTTCCTTTGGATTTTCATTTGAAACCACTCCCCAAAAAACGTACCAAAGACGCACCCATTTCATTTATTGATATGGGGGGGTGCTTGTTTTAGTAGGGTTCATAACTTTTGGATCAAGATGCAGGGTTTAGCCCAGGGTCAACATTACCATGAGTACCCTAACTAGTTTGGCGCAATTGACCCCCCCAAAGCCTCTTCCACATGGACAACCAAACCAAACCACTGACAAAAGCTGAGAAATGGAATCGACCCCCCACAGGTATTTCCAACTTGAAGACTTGTGAGGAATGGGAACCTCGGATAGAACCCCTGGTTGGTCAAGAGGGGTGTCCCCTTTTGACAGTGTTCATCCCTTTAGGAAACACCCCCCTGGTAACAGGAGTTTACCAATCCGGGGCTCAACATTTTTCTGCGGCTCCCTCAGCAAAGATCCTTACATATCTTACATTGTACACCTGAACATTGCCTTGTACATGGCGGTGTCCCTGTATTTTGGGTGGAAAACGCCATGGTTCGAACGGGCAAAGTGTCTCTTTTCAGGAGCCCTGTTACGAGTAGCCGCGACCGAAGCCGACTCCTAGGCCCAGACCCACCAGTACCTGCCCTTGGCATCCGCCACGCGAACCACCGCCACCTGCCAACGCCAAACATTCGGCCTCCGGCCCTGTCGCAAATCTAGGGGTTGATTCCTTTTCCATTCCTTTTAACCATCCTTCTTCTGAAAAGAAGGATCCCTGGAAAGAATGGGGAAGGTAATGCTAGAGCAATACTACCGGGTGAGTTCAGATTGGAGGGGACCCCTTGAACGTGTTCACAATTGTACTGGTCATGTTCCTTGGTTTTGAGGGGCACGCCCGAATGAGTGACTACCTTGATTGATCCGGAGGTTCCATGAACGAATCTCCGAGCAATAACATGGAGCACCACTGCGGGCAAAGAGGGGAGGTAGTAAAAAGTAGTGGCCCTGATTTCGGGCATGGGAAGTTTGGGTGGCCCAAAAAACAGATTTGCCTGAGAGATTTGGGCAAAATGGCCCATGTCCCCAAACTAGCAATCGTCTATACCAATATTTCTGTCCAGCTTTTCATATCTTCCTTGGGCCACTGCCACTCACCTCGGTCCGTGGGAACCTGACAGTTCTCGACAGAACAGCGGAGCAACTGCACCCTACAACTCTGGGTCTAATAGGGGTTTGGACCCTATTTTCAGATTTTTTTGTTAAAACAAAACCGGCCCCCAATAGCATGGCGAATGTTCCTCTTGGCTTCTTCAAATTCCCAAGATCAGAGGGTACCCTTCCATAGATGTCCTTTTTTGGGCAAAATTAGATGGGCTTCCCTTGGCAGTCGATTGAACCGCCCGGTGAAATCAGGGGTCCCAAGCCAAAACGACCTGCCCTTCGCCCAAGGAAACGGAGCCGAGCCGACCCAAGCATCGGTCCCGGTCGGTCGCGTCCCGCCTGGGGAAGCTGCGGCGCCGCCGGGCAGCTGGGCCAAGCCAAGGACCTGCGAAGCCGCGGGTTCCGCGGAGCAGGGGACTTCTGCGGCGCTGGGCGCGGGGACCTGTAGGGCCCCCTGGGAAAAATGAGAAAAATAATTCCAGTGATAGATTCCGGCTTTAAAGCCAAGAGGTGTGTGTTTCTTTTTTTTTCTTGTTATTGTTGTTTAAAGTCATTTCAGCAAATGGAAGGATTCTGGAAGGTAGGAAGAAAATCCAAGTCGACAGCTATGAAAGTACCGGAGGTCCCAACGATGAATCCAGAACATAAACACAATCGCTTCCTAAGCCGTCATGATTTCAATTTGTCCTTGCCCCTCCCACATCACATGGGGGCTGGGGGGGAGGGGAGGGAGCCGTGTTCTGGGGGTGGATCTTGAGACTTGAATGTTGGGACAGCGAGTGTCCAACTGCAAGTCACAAACTTTTCTGGCAGGATCTGGCAGGGTCTGGATTTGGATGAGTGACTTCAACCCAAAAACCATGGGCAGAGTTGGGAAGAACCTTGGGAGATGCCATTGTCAAACTAGTCTAGATTTATCGGGCTCATGATTGCTCACGAATTTGGTTTTGCAAGACCTTCGAGGCTGAGGGCAGAACAGCTCAACATGTCTGGGCAGAGAGGCCAATCAGGCCAGGCAATCCAAGCGCAGCACGCGTTTTTGTACTCGAAGACGGTAGCGCTCGAATCGAAAGCCGGCTCTACATCGCGTGCGCGGGTGACTTGGATCAGTGCCCACCCCCCTCTGCGTTCGCTGAGCCTTGCAACTTGTTGATGGCCGGGTTCATGTCATAGGCACGAATGTTGTTGAAGTAGGTGCCGCTGAGCACCACAATGGTCCACACCAGCGGGATCTGCATGCCAAACAAGGGCTTGATGCCGAAGCCAATACAGACGCGGTAAGCATCCCGGGCCAGGCCGATCATGGTGCGAAGCACGGCCCGAAGAGGTGCGTGATTCGAGCCGTCAGACTTACTGGTCTTGAGCCACACAGTTTGCAAACAGCTTGCAATCACACAAGTAGGTTGAATGCTTGCTAGTGCAAGGTTGCTCAGGCATTGGGTGCTGCAGCAACCATTGAACTCCACCAAAATCGGAAATGCTCTGCTGCAGTGAAATGGTCAAGAAATCTCACCAGCACCTCTCAAAACAGCGTTCTGCAGGGTTCATGAAAGAATCACAGGACAGGTCATGATGCAACTCCAGACCTATGATAACAGCCTGGAAAAAGCAATGTAGGTCAGCTTTTGAGTTGTTAGCATGCCAGCTGCAGCCATCCTTTCCACATTGAAGCAGCGTCAATCAAGTCAACTCCGAATGGACCTAGGCGTCACTTCCTTGCCCGGACTACTTGGCTCAGTGTCCACCCCCCTCTGCGTTCGCTGAGCCTTGCAACTTGTTGATGGCCGGGTTCATGTCATAGGCACGAATGTTGTTGAAGTAGGTGCCGCTGAGCACCACAATGGTCCACACCAGCGGGATCTGCATGCCAAACAAGGGCTTGATGCCGAAGCCAATACAGACGCGGTAAGCATCCCGGGCCAGGCCGATCATGGTGCGAAGCACGGCCCAAAGAGGTGCGTGATTCGAGCCGTCAGACTTACTGGTCTTGAGCCACACAGTTTGCAAACAGCTTGCAATCACAAAGGTTGAATGCTTGCTATTGCAAGGTTGCTCAGGCATTGGGTGCTGCAGCAACCATTGAACTTCACCAAGATCGAAAATGCTGCTAACAAGTACCAACGCGTACTCACGTACTCCCGCTGCATAGGGCAGCGTGAGGAAGGAATCAAGGATTGCCTGGCAGCTTGGTTGCTGTTGACCCCCCTGCAAAAAAAAAAAACTTTGGGAGGGTTTGGTGGAAACCCCTTGATTTAAAAAATCCAAGTCTAAAGATCCAATCCAATAGCAGTCAAGGCAGCACTGGAGCAAAGCTTCTGTCTCTCGCGTTCAGCTTCACGTTCAGTTCAGGCCCTCTTCGAGGCGCCAGAAGTTGCTCACATCCCCACACAGCCTGTACAGGGGCGATGTACGCTGACGCTGTGGAAAGAGCTGCGGCCCAAGAGCGCTTGGAACAACCCCCAAATGGGTGGCTCGACTTTCTGGAGTTGGACCCCCAACATGGATTTCGGCTTTCCTTTTGGTTTCGCTTGAAACAAAAACGACACCCGGCTTGTGACTCCCCCGCGCTTTCCTTGGCCGAAATCGTGCATTCGCCAGACACATTTCCGCGTGCCCCTCATTTCCGCATGCCGCATGCGGCCGAAATCCGCCACGTGCAAAACATCCCCCACACCGAGCCGGCCGCCCATAGCGTCTCTTTGTCACGCCGGGACGGCGATGGCCGCCATGTGGTTGCGGCCGGTGGCCAGTTGCAGCACCTGTTGGCCTTGAAGGCTAGGGTGCTTCCAGTACAAGGGCCGCGCCAGGCCTCGCGCGCGATCGGAAGGCATGCGCAAGGAGAAGGGGAAAAGGGTACCTTCTCACCAATCGACATGGAACTGACATTTCGGGGGGTGCTGGTTGGACCATTTTCTTTTTAAAGGAATCGGGTCCCTGTCAGGTTCCATGTTGATTGGTGGGAGGGTAGGTGTTCGAAGTTCTTGCTGGTGCGAGGCATGCAGGGAATGAGAAATGGAATGACCCCCCAAACAAAAAGAAACAAACACAAGCCGAAGCCCTGGTGACTTCCTTGGAGGGGATCACCTAGGTTCATTCCCACCCTGTTGATTCCCTGAGAAGTAGCAAGAAAGGACGAAAGGGGAAGTGCAAGTGAGTCATCGTTAAAACTGATCGTTCATTGCTCTCTACCCCAGAGCCAAGAATTGCAAAGGCGGCCACACCCATTTATGGCTGGAATTGTCTTTTACTACCCTCCAATTACCCGGGCTTTGATTGTGGCTCAAGTGAGTCAGAAACCACGAACTCATGACCTCCCATTGCTCCAGGCTTGGCAATAAGAAGAATCCTGGGCATCAGCTGCAAGAACACTCTGCCGCATGAACTGTGCCTCTGACTAAGTCTAGCAGTCTGCTTGTTTGTTGATCACCTTCTGTGCTACGGGAGAGCTTTGCTCTTCTTCCCATCTTCCTCTGGACATACTGGGCCCACGTTTTGCACATCTCTTTGCCAAACTACAAGCCTTCCAGCGCGCAGCCAGTTCGAGCCCTCACTGCCAAACAAGTCGCGCCCCCGCCTTTGCCTTCCTTTGCCCACCAGCCGTCGGCCCAAGGACCTTTTGCCCCCGCCCCCCCAACCTTTCTCGCTTTTTCTCGCTTCTCTCTCCCCGCGGCCCCTCTCCCGGCTGCCACACCGCTTCTGACTTCTCTCTCCCCGCCTATCCGGTGGGGGCCCATCATGTAACACTTCATCATGTCCACCTCCGGCGGCTTCCCCTCGCCCTTCTTATTCAGAAACCTCTCCACGCCGCAGCGCCCATCGTTACTGCCGCAGCCCCAGGCCTGCGGCAAAGCTGGACAGCCACACATCCAGCCGGCTCGAAGGCCAGGCAGAGATCCAGACGTGCGTCCATGCACGCATATACATGATTTTGTTGTCTTTTGTTTTTTCTCCGAATATGCGGATGGAAACATGAATCAAGCATGGAACCATCCATACCCACTTGCATCCTTGAATCCATGAAACCTAATATACCCCAACCAAACCAAATCCATCCCATGCCACCCTTCAGTTCCCCAGGACAAGGCCCTCGACCCGTCAGGTCGCACCAGCTCATGGCTTCATGGTTCAACTTATGCTCCCACATTCGTTTATTTTTATCATGTTTAATGTATGTATGTAATGTATGTAATGTATGTATGTATGCAATGTGTGTAATGTAATGTAATGGAATGTAATGTAATGTAATTGAATGTAATGTAATGTAATGTAACGTAACGTAACGTAATGTAATGTATGTATGTATGTATGCAACGTATGGCATGGCATGAAATAGCATGGCGTGGCACGGTATGGTATGTATGCATGCTGTATGTACGTACGTGCGTCAGGCATTTGCGTACGTATGCATGTAGGTAGGCATGTTTACGGGTCACTCCTAGCTTGTCAGCCGCGCATCCTCCCAGAGCATAGCCCACGGTTCGCCGAGGTGCCCAGGCTTTCCCATCTCGGCACAGCACTGCGCTGTGGATGTGTGCTGACACCGCCTGACCCACGCGGCATTGAATACCATGCAGCAAGCAAACAAAACGCAAATGCAAACAACCCAAGCCAAGCCAAACTCCACCAGCCAACCAAGCCCAGCCAGCCAGCCGACCAACCAAGCAACCGCCCAGCCAACCAGCCGACCAAGCATCCAACCAAGCAACCAACGAACATCAACCAACCATCCAATCAATCAACCAAGCAACCAAACAGCCAGCCAACTAACATCAACCAACCGTCCTATCAATCAACCAAGCAACCCAGCAACCAACGGAGCAACCGCATCCCGCGCAGCCAGGCCGCCGAGTGCACCGGTCCGATGCCCAGGTCGTAGGGCGGGGCCAGGCCCAGCGGGGACAGCGGGGCGTCCGGCGGGTTGCGCAGGGCGCCGCCCACTTTGTAGGGCCGAAGCTCGTCCCAGGGCCTGCGCTTTGAGCGCTTTGGGCTTCAGGCAGGAGGCATGGGCATTCGGAGTCGGCCATGGGCCATGGTCAAAGTTGAAGTGGTGGTTTGGAGTCACGGTGGTTGGAAGCGGTTTGGTGTGAAGTTGCCTCACATGCAAACTTCAAAGGAACCCCCCCCATTCCGGAGCGTTGAATCCCCTTGAGCACATTGACCCAAAGCTTTTGGCTCACCAAAGATCTAAACCACCAAGGTTTAAGCATCCCAAGTCCCAGCAAGTCTGGCATCAACCAATCCGACCCACTCTCTGCAATCCAATCTGCTTCTGTTAGGAGAGCCGGCCGGCGTGAACCGGCAAAGCGAAATCTCCAGCCTGCCGAAGGCTCCATCTTTCGCTCCCAGGTTCATGAGCAAACCCTTGTGGCATGTGCCCATGGTGTACAGGGCACCTGAGTCAGGCGGCTGTCAGCGGCGAATGCGTGCATTTCCATCCGGCGAATCCAGCTGATTTGGAGGATCTAGACAAAAAAACAGGTGGTTTATGGATGTTTCATTGAAGAAACTTTGTAATCTAGTCCCAATGCAAACCATTGCACCTGCCAATTCATGTTCAACCTGATGACTTGAGAGCAAGCACATGAATCTAAGACCCCCTTCCTAATCTGCATGCAGGTATATGGCGCAATGATCCAAATCACACCGCGGCGAAGTGTTCCTCGCAAACGCCTTTGGAACTTCGTACTGTCCTTTGCAACATAAACACGCCCACACACACACACAGCCACCCACACACACACACACACACAACCTGAACGCGGTTTCCCTCGGCCCACGTCGCTCTGCCGGCTCGCAAGAGCTGCCATCGAGCTGGCGTCCGTCCAAGGGCTGCACCGGAAGCAGCAACCACCACGGTGTGGGGACCTTCGGCTCCCCCTTCTGTGGGGTTGAGGCCGCCCTTGCAGCCCTCCTGCCCACCTGGGAGCGGAAGGGGGAGGGGAAAAGGGGGGGGGGTCCCCTAAAACAGGCACACCCAAATGGGAAAAGCCGAACCTCGCTGCTTCTTCACTCCTGAAAAACATGTTTGCAACGGGCAACCGAAAATGCGGGCAGTCCCGCAACCTTGCGCTGCTGCTGGAAGTGGAACTGTTCCGTGGAACTTGAAGACAAACCGTCACTGGACTCACGTCCAATCCAGCCGTGGCTCGGGAAGGGCAAGGTTTCACAGGACTCCGAATGCACAAATGGTTTCATGTGTTGCGACATGATGGTACACCAGGAATCGCCATCTATTTTTTCTATAGCAGAACCACCAAAAAGGTTTCACCTATGCCCATGTGGCGGGTGGGTTTTCATTTGGCTCGCCAAAACTCGAGGTGAGGGAAGCCAAGAAAGGCTGAATGCAGGTTCACATGTGAATATGCGGGCCGCGGGCAGTGGGTCGTAGCAGGACGGGGCTGTGGCTGGGCCGGGTCAAGTTGCTTGCTCGTTTTCCTGTTCTAAACATCCACCAACATCAACGTGGACCAACAACTTGCAGTGGGTCGTAAGCAGGACGGGGCTGTGGCTGGGCCGGGTCAAGTTGCTTGCTCGTTTTCCTATTCTAAACATCCACCAACATCAACGTGGACCAACAACTTGCTTCGCCTTTGCCAATCCAATCCATGCTCACGCTCGCTGTCGCCTTGCCGTGTTTCTGCGACCTGCACCCTCAGGTCGGCACCTTTGGAACAAAGCAAGTTACATCGCCTAATTCATTGCTGCCGAACATGCCTCCTGGATAAAGAGCGGCAATGACGGCATCACAACAGGATCCCCTGTCCCCCCCGCCCCCGCTTTCCCCCGCAGTCCGAGCAACGCGTGCATGCCACTTGCCTTGGCACGGGGCGCGGTTTCAGCGTCCGCCTTCCTTTGCCCGGATTCCATGGCACCCTGCAAACTAACACTTGCAAGAAAGCCAGTGGCATTCCAACAAAGCAGTGGGACCTCAGAAGCAGATGGATCAGAGCGGAAAAAAACGCAGCAACGCGCCAAGCGCTTTTCGCGGACCACTGATCGGCACTGGTGCCAGTTTTTGCCCCTGCCCCTGCCCCAATGTCGTATGGAGGTCAGATGCAAAGGCCAACTCGTGCCAAGGTCTCTTCTGTGGAGGTCGAAACAAGTCACAGCCCAAACCCTCACTGTGACTCTGCCGCAGCCCGGCTTATCTTGGCACAGTTGAGACAAAGCCATGGATTTTACCCACAAAGCACATCGGAGTCCCATACCGGCTCTTGCAGCTGGTTTGCAAGCTTCCAGCTGAGTTACATGACATTGAGAGGCAGCCCGAAATCCGCACCTTGAACTGGATTGCACCCACCGGTCTTACGCAAGCATCTACATCCGCTATGCCAAAAGAACCGATCTTAAACTTGGTGACTCTCGCAACCGCGCAACTCGTGCTTTGCTCTTCTAGGCTGTCCTCCACATCCCCCGCTAAAAGTTTAACTTTTAGTGGTCCCAATGGAAAACCCCCCTAAACACTAAAAAGCTAAAAGTTAAGGAACCGGATGGCCGGGAGCCACCCAGTCTTCCAGAAAAAAGCCCAGGAGCCGTTTCCGCCCCGTCCCTCGCCGCTCACCGGCCCCCAACGGATCCCAACCCTTCCGTCGCGCAACCGCCGGATGCCGCCGGGCGGCAGCACGGGCTCGAGGTCCACGCGCGCGGGGGCGGCTTTGGACTTCCGGTCGCCCAGGCCCAAGTTCCCGTGGCCGCCGTAGCCTCGGGGTCCGGATGCCCCGGCCAGGGGCTAGGGGCGGGAGAGGGGTCCGAAAACCTGGGAGGCCGGGCAATCCAGATTTTGCGACAGGAAGTGGGGCGGACTGTAGGACTTAAGAAGCAGCCGTGTGGGAATAAAGCAGTCAAAGTTGTATTGTCAAACACCAGTTTTGGTCATAACGGTGGCCGGCTTGCGGAACGGGCAACCGCAATCAGACACCAGAAGCCACACAACCAACCATCTGCTTGTCACTCTCACCGTGATGAGGTGAGCACGCCGTTTCTGAATAGCAACAACAACCGGATGGCACTGAAAAGCACACATGTTGCTGCAAAAAGAGCGGTTTCCACACAAAGTAAAGGGTGCCCTGGTTGAATTGGATGTCCCCTTATTCATCAGCCAGGGAATTGAGAAATGGCAGCGTTGTAACCTCATGGTACGAAAGGCTCCTCAAACAAGAATGGTCTTCGACTCTTCAGGCGTCTAACCCCCGACATGTTGTCAAAGCAACGAGGGGCTGTTGCCACCGAATGCGGTGGGCAAAGCATTTCGTGACAGCTGCAGCAAGCAAACTTCCAACAGTCGCCGAAGCATCACAACAAACACTTAGCTGCCAACATGGCAACACGAATGGCCATGGCCCTTTGGGCAACATGATTGCCTTTTAGTTCCTATCAAGACCTGCTGGTTCTCAGCAGGGAATGAGAAATGGAATGACCCCGAATAACAATCTCCTATGGTTTCCTTTAAGGGAAACCCTAGTTTCATTCCCCAAACGCGGAAGGTCATTCCCTACCTATCGCACCAACAAGAAATGTCAAAACGCAACCAGGGTGGAAGGTCCAAATCGACATGCCGATTCTCAATACGACCACGGTCTTAGACCAAAATGGGTGGGGCTGTTTGTTTAGGTTGGACCCCCCCCAAAAAAAAAGAGATGGTGTTTCTTTGTGTTCCTGCTTTCCCCACCCAAAAGGGGGTACCCTCCCATCCACGTTGCCATGGAACCTGACGACTCGGGGTCCTGGAATGGATTGCTCTTAAAGGGACCCTTTGTGTGGGTTCCATGGCAGCGTGGACTGGAGGGTGGTGCCATTGCACGGGTGATTTAAAGAACATACCCTCCCATCCACTAGCATGGCACAAATGTGGGAGGTATCTGGAACCTCGCCTGTGGGAGGGTAGCTAGAAAATATACCTGTGGGAGGGTACCTGTATAAGGGTTCCATCTTGGTTGCTGTTGACCCCCCTACAAAAGGTTTAACTGTTTGGGTGTTTAGTGGAAAACCCGCTTGATTTCCCAGAGTCTTAAAGTCTAAAGATCCAACCCAACAGCAGTAAAGCCATGGCACCTGTGCGGAGCAAAACAAAACCAGACACACCACCGGCCACCGGCCGTCCCAGGCGCCCCACATCAGCAGCTCCCCCTGGGTGCCCACGGCTCCAGCGTAGAGCGAGCCCAGCGACACCGCGGCGACGCCGGCGCCCACGAGCCCCGGGCTGCTGGTGCTCCTCAACGGGTGGGGGGTGGCAAGTGGGGGGCGGAAAGGAAGAAGAGCAACCAATATGTGTGTATGTATGCATGCATGGCATGTATGCATGTATGCATGTATGCATGTATGCATGTATGCATGTATGCATTGTGTGTGTGTGTGTGTGTGTGTGTGTGTGTGTGTGTGTGTGTGTGTGTGTGTGTGTGTGTGTGTGTGTGTGTGTGTGTGTGTGTGTGTGTGTGTGTGTGTGTGTGTGTGTGTGTGTGTGTGTGTGTGTGTGTGTGTGTGTGTGTGTGTGTGTGTGTGTGTGTGTGTGTGTGTGTGTGTGTGTGTGTGTGTGTGTGTGTGTGTGTGTGTGTGTGTGTGTGTGTGTGTGTGTGTGTGTGTGTGTGTGTGTGTGTGTGTGTGTGTGTGTGTGTGTGTGTGTGTGTGTGTGTGTGTGTGTGTGTGTGTGTGTGTGTGTGTGTGTGTGTGTGTGTGTGTGTGTGTGTGTGTGTGTGTGTGTGTGTGTGTGTGTGCGTGTGTGCGTGTGTGCGTGTTGTGTGCGTGCGTGTGTGCGCGCGTGTGTGTGCGTGTGTGTGTGTGTGTGCGCGTGTGCGCGTGAGTGTGTGTGTGCGCGCGTTGTGTGTGTGCGCGTGTGTGTGCGCGTGTGTGTGCGTGTGCGTGTGTGTGCGTGTGCGTGTGCGTGTGCGCGTGTGTGCGTGTGTGTGTGTGTGTGCGTGTGTGTGCGTGTGTGTGCGTGTGTGCGCGTGTGTGCGCGTGTGTGCGCGTGTGTGCGCGTGTGTGCGCGTGTGTGCGCGTGTGTGCGCGTGTGCGCGCGTGTGTGCGGGTGTGTGCGGGTGTGTGCGGGTGTGTGCGGGTGTGTGCGGGTGTGTGCGGGTGTGTGCGGGTGTGTGCGGGTGTGTGCGGGTGTGGGGGTGTTTGTGTGTGTGTGTGGGTGTGTGTGTGTGTGCGTGCTTTTACATGTATATTTATACAGGTACGATACATAATTCTATCATTTTGCTGGGAACACGACGCATAGAAAGCATCCGAAACTGACCAGTCAGTGAAATCCAGTCCTGCAACCCATTGGCCATTTGTCTGAAGAAACACGTGCGGAGTTGAATACCGGCCAACTAAACGTCCTGAAGGAATAGAAGGGTGCTGCCCAATTGGTGCGCACCGTTGCTATGGTAGCGCAAACATTTTTTTTGCAGCCCCCTACTTTGTATGATCAGAACCGCCCCCCCCCCACACACACACAAAAAAAGCTAAACACTTGCCAACAACAGTGGAGTTGTGAGTCTAAAACCTGAAAAAGAGCCCAAGCAAGGGACAATGGCCATGAGTCAACTTGCGTACCCAAGTTGACCTCATCACAAACTGGACAGACCAAAGGGCACCTGGTCGGTCACCGGGATCATAAGTTCTGCAAGTGTGGCTTGACAAGGGGTACGAGGCAAGGAAGACAACGCTCCTACACTGCACCATCCATGCCGGCCCAAGTCATAGGACTCGTGACAAATGGCCATGGGTCAAAACCCAAATCATACCCCCAGTGAACATCCCAATCCCCAGTAAAATAGACTAAAACGGTGCACCTACCCCAAAATGGGATCCCATTAATTTTGACCCACAGCCAAATCAACTGACAGACCGTTGTAACCATTCCACTCAGCTAGCACGCCATCACATCCCTCCACCTCAGGCCCTGGCTCCGTGGTGATGCCCTGGCCCAGCCTGAAAGCAAGAAAATGGCCGCCCTTCCGGAACAGCTACGTGCGGATTCACGGAGATGACGTCTTGGTTGCTCTTGACCCCCTGCAAAAAGTTTAACTTGGGGCTTAGTGGAAAACACCTGTATTTCCCAAAAAGTTAAAGTCTAAAGATCCAACCCAATAGCAGTCAAGAAATCCTCCAGTTGTTCAGGAACAACTGGTGCACAAAACGGAGCCGTGTGCATGTTTAAGGACCTGTTTTGAGGCCCTCAGGTACTGGCATATGCACTGCTGCCTGCCGCGAACCGACAACAAAACAAATGAGCCGGGCAAGAGCAGCAACGACCCACCCATCCACCCATCCACACATCTACCCATCCACCCGTCCGTTCCATCCACCAAGCAGCAAACCAGCCAGTCATCCAACCAACAAGCGACCTACCCAACAGCTACAACAACAAGAACAACAAGGGAAAGTGAGCAGCGGCCAAAACCCATTGACTTTGGTTCTACTAAGATGGTGACAAACGTCAAACCGGCTTTACTAATCATCTGATTAAACTTAATGTTGACCCACCCAGGATTAATAAACCAGTCCCATTATTAGGGGGGTGTTCCCTCCAAAAGTGGTCTGAATCCAACCACTGAAAGGGGACACCCCCCAATCAAAATCAACCAGGGTTTATTAATTACATCTACATCTTTTACGCGTGGCATCCAAAGTTCGAGGGCCTTGGAGTCCGGAGGCGCTTCGGAATTTCTTCGGCGGAGCCTTCCGTGAGCATTGCAGCCCCAAGTGAAGAGCCGGCCATCCTCCAGGACGGCTGCCGAGTACCTTGGCAACGGCACGCGAGGTGTGTGTTGCAACTTGACGCTCCTAGATCCCATTGACCCTTAGGCCATGTGGACGCCCCCCCCAAAAAAGAAAAGAAAAGAGACTTTGGAGAAAAGAAACAACCGATTCCGGACCAAACGAGAACTCTGAAGAAACCCCAAGGACAAAGGTGCAACACTTCAAGGCCATTGGCTCGCACCAGCTTTGCCAAAACCTGACAAATCAATTGTGAGGCCCCCCCTCAAGCCTGTGCCCCCCACCCATGCAAAGCACCGCTTCAGCAAATCACTTCAGCCGGACTCCTCCTTGGGGTTATGGACCCAGGGTTGGGGTCTCAAGGTGCACTCGCTGCCTAACTCCAACTCCTTCACCCTCACCCGAATCCCCAGGGCCCAGGGCGTATCCGCAATGGTGGATGCCTCCCTCCTTTGACACACCCATTTCCTCACGGCGGCATGGCTGTAAGAGCGCGTTGATGGATTCAGTCCTTCCGGACTAAGGTCAAGATCCAAACGGGTGTTGTTGTTTTGAATTTTGAAGGAACACACCCAACAAATGACAAATGATCCCCCACTCATAAGGGGTGGGGGACCTGGAACATGCATATATGCAATTTCGAGGTACCCAGGTCCCCCCCCCCATTCGCAAAATGGGGCAGCTTTAAACGTCCACACTTGCGTTTTGCTGGAATGGGGGATGACAAATGACAACCTTTGGGTGTCCGACTGCAGCCGAAGGCGGCGTCCGCGACTCCGAGGCGCTGATCCTCGCAGTCCACCTGCGCCGCTGCACCCGGCAGCGCGATCTCCGCGGGCGAGGCGGCGCCGGCCTGGCGGATCCGTGGGGCCAACGGGTTTTTCCATTTTGGGCGGGGAAAAGGAAACCAGAGCTTGTTGTTTTTGGAGTTCCCTGCAGTTTTTTTTCTTTTTTTAAGGGTTGGGAAAAGGGAGCTCTGAAAACAACTGGTTGTTCTACAACCTGTGGTGGCTGCGGCTTCGGTGTCCCTTTTGGCCCAAACCAAACGAATTGCCACCCTTAGCCAAACACACACAAACACATCCAACAAATGTGTCGAGTATTGTCGAGTAGCTTCCCTTGGGCACGTTTGGGGGGCCAACCTGAAAGCCACGGGGGTGCCCTGGAGGTGAATCCTCGAGCCAAGAGCTGAAAAGATTTGGGCGGTCAGTTCAAAGCTCCAAGCTATGACCAGGCCTTTGACGTGACGACCTGCTGCCAAACAAAAATCGAGCGCAGATTGTTTGGGCCGTGGTTTGGCGCGTGTTTATTTATTCCTCTCTCTCTCTCTTTGTTTGGGGGGGGGGTTGTTGGCAAGCAGCTTGAACAATTGTCGGCAACCCAGGCTGCAACGCGCGGCCAGTTGCATGCAGGCAGAAAGCTGGCGAAACGCCGTGAAGCCTAACTTGGCCCACATCTGGGGTACACGGAACACTTCGGGTTGACTGATGGATTGTCTCCATATTTAGCCTACCCCAAAACATGCAGGAGGCTCGTTACCTCAGGTGCTTTGGAAGGCCCCGGATGAAGGATGCAGCCGAAGCCAGAGATTTCAAGGATACAAATTGGCTTGTCTCCAAATTAGGGACCCCTCCAGTTGTTCTTTGGGTATCCCGTTCAAACCAACGAAACTGGGGCTCCCCAAACCAAGGCACACCCAAATGGAAGCCATGCAGTTTGAAGACTTGCCGAGCCCAGGGAATACACCTGCTCACTTCCCCAAAATTCTCAAGCCTGCGTGCGCTCCGCGTGCCAGGGAAGTGCTTCTTTACTGCAGGTTTGTGTGGGTTTCGGAGTCTTGTTGTGGTTTGAGCTGGGTTTAGGTTTAGGGGTAGTGCTGGTTTAAGGTGGGCAGTGATGCTACTGAGAGTTGCTGGAGCATGCTAAGCATGTGGAAGGCCAACAGCAGCCCGACTTTGATGACCCCCGTAAACAAAACCCACATTGTCGCGCCAAGATGACCCAAGCTGCGCGCACTCAAACTCATCAGGTGCTTACTGCGCTGTGCTTGGCTCACAACCAAGGCGAATTTCACCCGCATCACAAGACACTGACACAGCCGACATGGGAGCAATTGCATAGTGCAGGTCTCTGGGCCTTGTCCGTGTGGCCCCGGCCCAGCCTCAGCTTTCATCCAAAGTGTAAGGTGCCTCTTGGAGAAGATTATTTTAAAGGTAAAATATATGGTTCTTATGGTAATGGTGATTATACATCTCGTAACTTAACAAATACTTACATATATAAACACACACATATATATATATAAATACAATACATAATATAATATAGTTGAATTATCGGATTATAATTGGAAACAAAGCATCGCGCGGGATGGGCGACCATTACGGCCTTGATGGATGGGCCCACATGTCACACAACAATAGTGACTGGCACATGTCCAACTTAAAAGGCACCGCACCAAAACCAACAAACATGCCTGCGTGTCGCTAGCACGCTTCGCCCCGTCTGTTAAGCACAACCACGCAGACAAACAAACAAACAAACAAACAAACAAACAAACAAACAAACAAACAACGCACACACACACAAAAGAAAAAGAAGCGTAAACAACAAACAGCACACACATGCATGTGCATGCAGGCAGGCGTGCATGCAGGCATGCCTGCAAGCAGGCCGGCAGGCAGGTAGGCAAGCAAGCAAGCGCACAGACACAAACACAAAGACACACACACACACACAGACACACAGACACACAGACACACGGACACACGGACACACAGACACACGGACACACAGACACACAGACACACAGACACACAGACACACAGACACACAGACACACAGACACACAGACACACAGACACACAGACACACAGACACACAGACACACAGACACACAGACACACAGACACACAGACACAGACAGACACACAGACACACAGACACACAGACACACAGACACACAGACACACAGACACACAGACACACAGACACACAGACACACAGACACACAGACACACAGACACACAGACACACAGACACACAGACACACAGACACACAGACACACAGACACACAGACACACAGACACACAGACACACAGACACACAGACACACAGACACACAGACACACAGACACACAGACACACAGACACACAGACACACAGACACACAGACACACAGACACACAGACACACAGACACACAGACACACAGACACACAGACACACAGACACACAGACACACAGACACACAGACACACAGACACACAGACACACAGACACACAGACACACAGACACACAGACACACAGACACACAGACACACAGACACACAGACACACAGACACACCCTTACACACACCCTTACACACACCCTTACACACACCCTTACACACACCCTTACACACAAAGACACGCCCGCATGCGCGGATGCGTTGTCAAGTCGGGTGTGTTCACATGTCCTCGTGGCACATTGTCCGACTCGAACTTTTTTCACATGCAACCACAAATCCACCTGCCTGCAAACCACAACAAACACCTTGGTCGCCCATAGAACCGGTTGCAGGTTCAAGCTCAAGCCCGGTGTCACCCAAGGAGACAACTTGGCACAGTGACAAACTTGCTGGTGCTCAGCAGGGAATGAGGGAACGAACCCTGTAAACCATCCCTTGCGGTTTCCTTTGAAGGAATCCCCAGGTTTCATTCCCTCATTCCCTATCGCACCAGGGAAGCAAAATTGACCGTCAGCCGTCCGCGTGAGCCATGTTTCCAGACCAGGGAGCTGACCGAACCGGTTGCTGCCCCAGAGGAAGACGCGGCCTCCACGCACCAAAGCGGCCCCATGGTCTGCGCTGAAGGCCTAAAGCCCAACGCCGAGGAAAAACACACCCGTTGACCCAACGGGTCCGGGCTCACGCCAAAGGACCCTTCGAGATCCCTGATCTAAAACGGCCAAAATGCGTTTGAAACAACAAATGGGTTTCCCTGATAAATGGGGGGAAAAAAACTAAACCAGTGGAACCCATCTATTTGAATCCAAACTCACGATCAAAAAGGACACCTATGGTCCAAAACATCCACTCGGTTTCTGGACCTAGGCGCCGACATCAGCACGTGCTCATGTTGCAGGGCCATCACCCGCTTGGGCGTGCCCAGGTTCGGCCCGTCGCCGTGCCCCAGGCGGCCCTTGAAGTTGTTGCCTAGGGACACCCAGCACATTCTGGGGGTTGATTCCCCATGCTTTTCAACCATCGTTCTTTTCCTAAAATTTCTGGAGGTTTTCTAGAAAGAAGGATCCCTGGAAAGAATGAAGAAGGTATCCCTAACACATGGGTGTCTTTTTTCGGGGCACCCCTCCTTTTTGAGGGAAACCACAAGGAAAACCACTAATGAGAGGACCCCCTAAGCTGACACAAAAGGGTGGCTCCTAATCTGGGCTGTTGAAAATGGAGGGTTGGCCAATCCGTTTTTTGCATAATCCCGACACAAAAAGCTACTACCAAAGGGACACCTGGCGTAACCAGGTGAAAAGGATTAAGGATAATCTTCGAACAGCCCAGCGTTTTTGTGCCCAGCGTTTTTGTGGTGTTCAAGGGAAACCAAAAGGAAAACCCCTAATTTGGGGGGTCCCCTAAACTGACACACCCACATCAGCCTGAGGAGTAGGGCTTGTCATCGAGTGGAAAGGGCACCCTTTCGGGACAAGGGAATTCAAAGCAACCAGCGATTCCAGCGATCCTTTGGTGTTGACCCATGCCGCTTTAACAATTCTCTCTTCATCAATGCTCGGCACGCCCACTAGGGAACTGACTTGATGAACCCTACGAATGATCCAAACTGCCCAAACGCATAGCTGGTTTTCTGAGCAAATCAACATCAATGCAACACATCACTGCAATTGTTATAGGCTGATGCGTAGGAAGCTTTCACGGGCTTGGTCAAAAAAACAAATGAATCAATCAAACCATCAACAAAAGCGGCAGCTACAGGTTCTCAATGCTGCCCAGGGCTGCAAGGGAGCGACATAGAACCGACATAGAACCAACACCCCAACCCCCAACCCCCCCAACCCCCCCAACCCCCCCAACCCCCCCAACCCCCCCAACCCCCCCAACCTCCCCCACTGCTAACCCCTTAACCACCCCCCCAAACCCAAGCCTTTTGCGGCACGTTTGGTCCGAGTCTTGAAATTCCCAGGCCGAGGGGCCAAAGGTGAAGAGCTCCCCCTGCGCCGTCACTGCCCCCGTGCAGCCCTGCTGACCTCCGCCGCAGGAGACGTGGACCACCTGATGCCTCGGCTTCTCGAGGCGTCGCGTGAGGCGAACGGCCGTACTGAGCCAAAGGGGGGGACCTTGCAAAAAAAAACACAAAAAACATTTGTGTGCGTGTGTTTTTTGCGCCCCCCCTACTAAAAATGAGCAGAACCCCCAAGAAAATGCAAAAAGCCTTGCCAACAACGGTGAAGCTGAAGCAAAGAGAGGCCGGACTTCCGGAGCCTCTCACCCACTCCAGCCCACCTTCTCTCAGGCGTCAGACAAGGCGCATGCCCGGAACTGGGTGTGGCAGGGCGCAGTTCACCGAGGGGTACCTCACCTTGTCCTGGCCATCGCTATCACCCCTCCCCCCGATATCAGGACCACTCAGCCAGGCAAGCCACCCTGACCTGCACAGCATGCACAGCTTATCCTCTGGCTGGAACTTTCATGGCTGTTAGGATGTTGTTCCAAAGGCTGCCGAATCTAGAACAGCGCCCTATTTACAAACGAGAGCGTACAGTATGAGGGTGTTTTGAGAAGGGCCTCTTTACAGACCCTGGTGACGCTATCTGATCTTCCAGGCACCGAACCCTTCAGGTCCGTCAAAGAGAGATGGATCTCTCTCTTTTTCCCGAGGGTTTTGAAACCTTGGGCCGTTTTAAAGGACTAGCTAGTGGAAGAAAAAAAACAACATTTTAGGGATCCCTCCAAAATTTAAAGGACTAGCTACTGGATAAACAACTACATTTAGGTTTTTCCGACCTTGGCTGTTTGAAAGGACTAGTGCGGCACAACCGTTGAGGGATCCCTCTAAAACGAAGACACCCAGGTGCGACTTCACCAAGCGACCCGTCCTGCCCCAGCTGCCCATCGCTGCCCCGGCCCCAGGTAAACAGCTGGCCCGGCTGCGAGGCGTAGAAGCCTCTGGCGCCAGGAAGCAGCGCTTCGATTTTTTTGGGGTGTACCTCCCGTTTCGGTGGTTGTCAAAGGGGGCTTTAAAAGGAAAAAAAACGCTATTTTTAGGGGGCTAGTGCTTTTGTCTGCATAGGTGTCCTTTTAGGGTAAATGGATGGGTTTGCCTGGTATATGTTTAAACCACCACCAGCTGTTTTCTACCAAAACAACCAAAAAGGACACCTATGGCTGCATTTTTTTGGAGGGTACCCCCGTTTTGGTGGTTGTCAAAGGGGGCCAAAAGGAGAACCACTTCTTCTTCTTCTTCTTCTTCTTCTTCTTCTTCTTCTTCTTATTTTTTGGGGGGGTCCAATCTTGAAGCAGGCGCACCCAAACCAAATCAGAGAGGCCTGCCCCCTGGCGCATCTCAAACTAGTGCCAAGCCTACACGGGCTTGGCAAACCGCCCGGGAACAAGTCCAGAGACCTGAATCATTTAAGCTGCATTTGCAGAGGTCAGCCAACTGAACATTTAAAAAACAACCCGAAACAAAGCGCAGTCCGGTTATACTCTTCTGCGCCAAACCTGTTGTTTTAAACCAGTGCCACACCACTGTGATTCGCCCAGGCCTGCAGCAGGAGCCCGCTCAGCATCAGCCTCTTCTGCCTCAACTTCCGGCTCTGCCGGTGGCTCCGGCTCTGCCGGTGGCTTTGTCGGCTCCGCCACTGGCTCCGGCGCTGTTGGCTCCGGCGCTGTTGGCTCCAGCGCTGGCACTGGCTCCTCCGTGGCAGGCGCCGGCGCCGGCGCCGCCGGTTCGGACGCTGGTTCCGCGGGTGCCGAGGGCATGGCCGTCTCTGCCAGGATCTTCTCCGAGTGCTCTGCACCAGAAAAGACCCAGTCCAAGAACTCCTCGGTGTCCACATTCCCGTCCTGATTCTTGTCCTTAGCTCACACTCCCAGATGACATGGACCCTGGAGCTTACTCTTGTGTCGCCTCTTTTGTGTGTGTGTGTGTGTCAAGTACATACGGCATTCACCTCAAAGTGGGACAGCCTCAGCATCCATTCAGAGATCCCACAATCTTCCAATTGCTTAATTTAAGTCCATTGCTTAATTTAATTTTCCAGTAGCCTTAGATTCCCTTTAAAACCAGCCAGGGAAAATAACACATATTCATTTCAGCAAATGGAAGCAATTTGTGACAGCAGGAGGCCGAGCAGCCACCAACTGCACCACCGCGTCGACATCTTGCGCCGACATCTGGTCACACAGCGATGCCAGGCAGTCCTTGAACTCACCCTTCGATACCACGCCATCGTCGTTGGAGTCCCATTCTGAAAATAGCCACTTCACCTGCTCTTTCACCTCAGTCCCATGGAACATTTCCATACAACATATGTTGGAGAATAGAGGCCTTCCTAAGGCCCCCATGAGAAGCCCCATGCCCCCAAGAAAAGAAACACTGGTGGTGGTTCAGCTCACCTTATGCCCAGTGCTTGCTTGTTGAGTGACTCCATGCAAATTGATCGCCAGCTGCGGCCTCAGAGCCGAAACACCACATCAAGAAGGCGGCCAACCCTGTGGAAGACCCCTCTTTGCATCTAAGTCGTTCAGGCCGAACTGCACGGAGCTTGCACCAAGCCGCCGGCGTCTCCACTGTCGCGCTCGAGTCCGCGGCCGAGGTCGCCGAAGGCGCCGAGGTCGCCGTGGTCGCCGAGGCCGCTTCGCCCCGCTGGCGTGCCACGGTGTCCTCGATGATGCCGCGGAGCATGTCTTTGTCCACCATGGAGGTGTTCCTAGCGCCATGGAATCCCACCGGGGTTCTTTCCGACTGCTTTACCCGGAGGCTTCTTCCAACTGGACAGAAACAGTTCTCGACTTGCTTAAGGACCCACGCGAAGCTGAGCCGCCTCTTAACTCTGTGGTCCAAAGGACAGAGACCAGCCTCCTCGGCGCCTCCAATCGGACAAATAGACTGGCTTTAGCTTGAAGAGAGCCACACCCGAAGCACAGGTTACTTCCCAAACAAAAACCTGACGACTCCGTCCAGTGAGGCTTTCTGCCTCGACCTTGCATGCCTTTTTGCCGCGAGCCCTCGCAACTTCCATGCCTGTTCAATTTGCAACCTGCCTTTCAAAGTCAGACGCAGGGACCCGTCAAGGTATCCAACTGAACCTGTAGTAGTACTTTGAGCGCAGCTTGCTTTTAAGGGGGGGGGGGGGCGATCCTTTCAGGGCGTCATAAAGAGGGACACCCTTACTTTTCTCCTGGGAGGGTGTGCGATCCGGGCGTCAGGTCGTGGAGATCTGTAACCTCCACAGTCTTCACCATGGCTTGGTCCTGCGTGAGAGGGCGAGGGCGGCGAGCTTCCCAGAGCCCGTCATCCCCTAAAATGGTTGGCTTCCAATTATCCCCCCAAGTAACATGGAACCTGACAGGGGGCCTTTAAGGAACATGGTCTTCCAGGACCCCTCTGTCAGGTTCCACGTTGGACGGGGAGGAGTAGTTCCCCGCTAAGAGAGAAACGCCCACACACCCAGTTCATCCCCTGGGTGGGTTCTTCACAGCCCACATGCTTTGCTCCCTGAGTGGCCTTGCGCACAGGACAGCGGCAGTTCCAATGCAAGGCACGCCAATGCTCAAGCTTACCATGCCAAAGATCTGGAGCAACTGAGAGGCGAAGGACGAAAGCTCTTATTTTAGATAGATGATTGTTTGTCGCATGTGCGCCTTGCAAGCACCTGACCGCAAGCACATTGCCACCAAACAAACAGCTGTTATGCTCTGTACATGAACACTTGCGAAGCTTGCAGCAAAAGCCGAGGAAGACGAGAAACAACAAGTATAAGAACAAGGCGAGAAAAAGAAGAAGAGGAGGATGAGGAAGAGGTGGGATTTGTGCTCGTGATACTGAGATGTGGGTGGTATTTGTGCTGTTCGAGCGCAGCCCCTCAATTTTACAGCTTGCAAATGTCATTCCATTCCGGTGAAGTTTAACAAAGAAACAACACAAATCCAACATAGAACCGAACAAACGCCCCAAGCACGATATCCCTGTACATATGGATAACTTGAATTTTTGAGGGCAGCAACTCAACTCCAACCTCTGATGACCGCATCATCTCCCGAGTCAGACACTAAAACCTGGTATCAAAATAGTCTATCCAGAACCATGTAAAGAACCAAAAGGCGGCTGCACCCGTTTGCGAGTATGACTAACCTTCATCTACCGGGTTTTGATTGTGGCTCTCCTTCAGCTAGACCAGGTTCTCCAATAGAGGTGTCAGAATAAGGGTGCCTTTTTTTCTGTAGTCTAGTTTAGTAGGGGGACCCTCCCCCCCCAAAAAAAAAGGGGTGAGAAAGGGCACTGGGGGACCTAGCAAAAGAGCACCAGCGACCAAAGCCTCACAGCCTCCGACCCTAAAGCCTCAGCTGAGGCACCAAGTTTTGCCGCGCCGCCCGGCGTTGGTGGGGAGCTCCCTGGGCCATTGTGAGTCAATACCAACGGTATCATTTTGGGGTGGGTGCACCACTCATTTTAGTCTACTTTAGTGGGGATTGGGATGTTCACTGGAGCCATTCTTTTCACAGCTGTCAGACCTCCGGAACCCCCTGGAGCCGAATACCCTTCTGAACCCTGCCTGAAAGCCGGCCCAACTCCAGATCCTATTTGGGCAGAGACGCCCCAAAAAAAAGATAGCAGCTGGGGGAAAAATCGGAAAGCCCCTCTTTGGATGGTTAGGAAGCCAAAAGGAAACCAAGCAGTCTTGGGCTTGCGTCCAAATCCGAGCCGTTGCAAGGCCACTTGGCTCCACTCCTGAGGCACTGATGGCCAAGCCCATTGCCAAGAGGACCAAGATACACCTGAAACTTCCGTGCCAAATTGCAGCAACGCATAAATCCACTTCTGATCGAGTGGATGGGCGAAGAACGGTCCTGTTTACCGCTAAAATGGCCTTCCCAAATGGCCTTCCCAAACCCTGCCGACTTTGATTGAGGCTTGAAAGAGTCTTAGGTGCTTGCATAGTGCAAAGCTTCGGTTGCAATTATGGAAGTGCAACGAGTTGCTGGTTGGACAGACTCAAAGGGCAATCGCCAGTCACCTGGCACCAACAAACGGACCATGCCAAGAAAGATGCGGGAGAACTGTTCGCTCCATGGCAGTCACCTCAGGCTCTTCAATACCTCTCAAAATCTGGGGGGGGGGGATTTCAGTGGAGACTCTTGGGCGGTGAAAGCCCTTGGTTCCCGGCAAGACCCCTCTGTGAAAAGTGAATGACTTTCTGTGGGTCCAATTCGGAAAATCCGGCCGGCTTCAACCAAATAGTTCGAGTCCAAACATCCGTTACCAACTAAAGAGCCGGTCCATAAAGATCCGTTACCAAAGATCCGATACCTGTTTCCAGAGGTGGCCTTTTGGCAAAATAGATGGCCAAAAGGAAAATGGAATAATTCCCATCTAAACCAGGAATCACCCTCTATCTTTTAAGCAAACCAACCAAAAAGGACACCTATGGATGCATGGATATGATTCCAACTTTTCTTGTTTGGAGTTGGTATCCTTTCTGGGTTGGTTTAAAGGGAAACCAAAACAAAGACCCAAGCCCGGCATGGGGTCTGGGTCCCAACCTATGCCTGTCCCAACCTACCCGGTCCGGACGCACAAACCCCCCCACGACACACCGCTGCCCTCTGCCGCGGCGCCATGTCCTCGCTGGGCACCACCAGCGTGATCGCCCGGCCCGACCTAAGAGGGTCCGGTCCGCGCGTCTGAGCCAATCTTCAGCTTCCCGTGGGTTTGGTGGTTTGGAGCCCCGTGGGTTTGGTGGTTTAGGCGTTTTCCCAGTTGCCCTCGGCAAAAGCTATGGGTTCCAATCCCAAACAACCAATCCGAAACTCTACTAAGTCTTGTGACTTTAAATTTGGGTGGGCCATATAGCGTCGAACTGCATGTGAGCGTGCAACTGCCTATGTAGAAACTCTAACCGCCTGCTGAAAGTTTGTGAGGCGAATGGTGCCCTGCATGGCAGACTCTTTCAAAGGAATTACTTCTCAGAAACCTTGAGCAAACTGTATTCACCTCAAGTAAGAAACTCTTCCAACGGTGCGGAGCAAGCCAGAGGGGTGTTTTTGGATCACCGTGGGCCGGAGCAGATGCCTAGATGCTTCCGAAGAAAGTCCAAGGGGGCGAAGGGCGCCAGCAAAAATGACCGGCCACATGCAGATGAGTTTGTCTTTAACCATGAGGATATCCCCACAGTGGGTTGTGTTCTTTTGGTGTCCCTTTAAACCTTTGAAAAAAAAGAGACTCTTACATAGCTTGAAATAGTCCAAACTGACGTAAAGGCCTGTAACATAAGCAGAACACACGCGTGAAGGTCCACACAAATGAGTCGACGGATAGGTTGGGTTCCATACTCTACTGCAAGTCCCCGGTGGAGCCCGCCGCTGCTGGCAAGGCTCATGTCAGACACCGGGGCACAGCCATTGCCGCCAGCCAGCAAGAGCAAGGGGCCGGACCATGTGCCGGTTGTCGCCAGGGTCACTGCCTGCGCGAGAAACAACAATAAGCTCAGGTGACATCCCCAACAGCATACGGTGCTCTTTTTAGTGCTCGCACCACCCCCGCGCAGCCCTCGCAGAACCTCGTGGAACCCTGGTGAAACCCTGGTGGAACCCTGGCGGAACCCTCGTGGAACCGGAGCCTATCTGTGCTGCGACCCCATCGCTTTCAGCTGTTGGGGGAAAAATTCTTCATGGGATCAGACAGACCCACCGAGGGCTCAGGGCAGATGTGAGGTATGCATGCTGATCTGTCAAAGTTGTGTGGAACAGCGTGCCCTTCCAGCACAAGGCCACGAGCGTGCGGCAAAAGACCAAATGCTCGTCGGATTCAGCATGGGCAAGCCACCGAGAGGCAGGTGAAGACCCGAAAAAGCTAAAAGATTGAACTGAGGCCACCTGCCTCACATTGGCACTTTAACCGCATCTGGCACGGGTGTTCCGTGAGTGGTTGCCTCAATTACTGATCCTGTGCTGGCAAGCCGAGCCTTCCCCACACCAGCCGAGTGAGCGACCACAATGTCCTGGGCAAGAGGTGCTGTTTTTCATCCCCCATCCAACCAATCCACCCAACCCAATCAACCGCTGAGTCGGCATCGCAGTCTAGCAGCATGGTTTGCCCTAAAAGGAACTTGCCAGGGTTCCAAGCCCTCCGCCCTTGCCCCGTTCGATCCGCCCCAGCCCCATCCCCCGCATCGATCGCAAGCAAAGGGCGGGCTTGAAGCTTTTGCACTCTTTGGCCAGGGCGTCCCTTGTCGCCGCATAGCTGGCATGCTTCACCTCAGTTCTTACAGCCAAAGGAGTCGGCTGTTGGCTGCGGCTGCGCGCGAGGTTCATTCACGCAGAATGGCCGCTCTCAATGGTATGCTCTGCTTGAGATGCTTTTTGACTGTTGCACTCGTCAGCCAAGGGATAGCACCCAGTGCGCTTGATCCAAACTAACATTCAGTCCAGTGTCTGATGGGATGCAGAGGTGCTGGAAGTTCTGCTGCAAGTACTTAGGCTTTGCGCCTCAGCCAGCTGTTGCGCCTCGACAAAGGCAGTGTACACTCGCAGGTTAAGTCTTCATCTGCAAACACTGGGTCCTCAGAACAACGCTTCAAACAGCCAAACATAGCCAAACTCTTGTCACCTTGCCCTATGCAGGGAGGGTGGCAAGAAGATGCACCTGTCGCAACTGGCAGCCGGCTTCCCTCTAATTAGTGGTTTGGATGGGTGGTTTGGTGGTTAAGGAGCCCTCTACAAGATCCAGGGGTTCAAATCCCCAAACCACCTGGTGCACGAATCCAAGCCACCAATTGGGAGAAGCAACCGAGGAAAAGGACTGTGACTTGGACCCGTCGACGCTCTTTCAGCTTCCCTGAGCTCGGCGCCTGTGAGGTTGCAGCCCAGCCTGGATCCGAGCCAAGTGATCCCCTGCCGCGACCAGAAAGCCTATTGCCACGTTCAAAGCTTGGGTACGATGCCGACAGGAACATGTTTACTAAAAAAAAGAAGCTCTCAAGTGGGCCTTGATACATTAGAGTTTGGAGCCCCTATGTCTGCAGAGTGCCGGCGCTTCACACTGTGGCATCCCATTTTGAGCTGCTTGATCAACAACCGTTTCCATTCGAGCTAGGTCAATGTTGACCCGGGACCATTCCACCTGGCACGTCTGAAATGGTACGCCCTCCCGTTGACTGCTCCAAAACCTCGCGTTCTGCAGCCAAGCAGCCCACAAATGTAGAGCACCCCTGAGCCCCATCTGTCTGGAACCATCAATCACTCTCCAAGTGGCTGGTTCTAACGTTTAAAGGGGCAGCCAGCGGTTTCGACGGGTCCCCCATTTTAAGGCACACCAATTCTGACCGTTAGGACCATCAACTCCCCCCGGACTCGCGCGAGCCCCCAAAGCCGGGACGATGACTGCCGAGGCTCGAAGGTCGGACCGCGGGTCCGCCATGGCAATCCACACTCCGAGCCAAAAGCGGGGCTCGAAACACGTCGGTGCCAAACCGGGACCCCAAACTACCCATTACAACACACACGCCTGGACATGTTAAGATTTGAATCTTCTGTTTGGTTTGAGGCAGGGACGTTTTTTTTTTTTTTTTTCCGGGCAGACACTGATGGCGTGGCTCAACAGGATTGAATGCGGATGACTGCCAACCGCATCTGACCATGAATAAGCTAAGAGCTTGCCTGTGACGAAGTAGCCCTCTGCTGCTGAGAAACCAAGTCGCTTGCTTTTGTTCACCTTTTGAGGAATTGCGAAGTGGACAGGAGGGTTTGGAAGACTACTATCCATTTACCCCGGTTGATGGGAGGCACACAAATGTCAACCATGATCCTGGCACACGACACAGTGCCCGATCAAACGGCAACGTCCACTTGAACAAGCATAGCTTCAGAAGCTCAAAACGACTAATGGAAGCTCCAGCACAGAGAAATGACGAATAGCATTTCAGTCATGTCTTCTGACTTTCTTGCAGTCATCCTATTGGCCAGCCCATCCCCCCCAAAAAAAGAGAGAGAAGAACAGATCAAAGGAGCATGCAGAGAGCTTGGGATGTTCGGTCGCAAGACAAAGACCGCAAAGGAACGGAAAAATGGTCTTTGGTTTGTTTCCGCTGAGATTGCGACCAAACCTCCCTTGGGAACATCTGGCCCCTTGCGCCTGCAGGCGTTCAGCTTCCTGCTGGCTGCCTCCAGGAGCTTGGAGCTGGACCTCAGGCTGGCGGAGGGTGTCTCAGCTGCGGGTTGGCCATGGGTCAAAAGCCCAAAAGCCCGTCCCGTACCCCCAGCGAACCTCCATAGGTTCTAAACTGGGTGGTGCAAAAAAAAATAAAAAATGGAGCCATTGGTTTTGACCCACAGGCCACATGCCTTTTTGCAGCTTTGAGGAGAGGTGACGTCTGTCAGTTCGAGTGAAAAACCTTGAAAATCTGCGAGGAACAAATTAAATGGGCAGTCTCAAAGTGAAACGCGCCTTTCTGTCAGCCGCATGAGTGGCGAGGAGAAAAAAAGATCCATCCATGGCCATGTTCTCACAGATGCCAAGAGCATTGGTCCGGGCAAAGCCCAAGCAGATTTGGCAAGAATAGGCAAGCGCATCCTGCGCGACCCTGTTGCACATGGTTGGCAAGCGGCTCCCATCTATCACGAACAATCATCTGCTGCTTCAACACCCCGACTCCTGTTCAACATACCTCGAACCTCCCCAAAAGCCAGCGGCAGATTCGGCTCCAGTGAGCGGCAGGCTGGGTGTCCACTGTGAAGCCTGCCAGCCCGAAGCTCCAGGAGTGTTCACTGGAGCCCCACCTCAGCTGCTTCGTTTGGAAGGCAGGGAATGAGACATGGCATGGACCCCCGGAAAAAAGGACCCATCCAAGCATTCGATAAGCAGGGAATACGAATGACCCCCATTAACCATCCCTTCTGGTGAATGAGAAATGGAAGGTTTTTTGGACATCCAGAAGTTTACATCTTAATAATTCCTGCATTTTGGGATCATTTCCATACTAATTTCTGGGATTTTGCAGTTGATAATCTTTGCTAAGCAATCCATGATCTTTACCATGTCATCTATTTCTCTTCTTGGAAGTCTTGTTTGGGGACATCATATGTATACTGTAGGTTTAGAAAGTGATACAAGAGCTTATTTTACAGGAGTTACAATCTTAATACCAACCCCAGACACATTCCATTTAACCCTTGGTTTCCCTTGTTCGGGAATCCGCAAACTCGGTTCACTCGGTTCATTCCCAACACCCTGACTCGGTCATTCCCTACCTATCGCACCAGCAAGGTGAGTGACTGGCCGACTGGCACCGCGTGGAAAACCGCAAGGAAGCTTGACTTCTCATCTCCCCAAGCGCCCAGCTTCGGCATCTCAGGGCAGACCTGCGTGCTGCCCCCCAACCAAGGCTTGGGGGACCCTTGCGCCCAACCAAAGCCATCTTGGCCACTGGTGGCCCTCGCCAGCCTCCGGGTTCAGCTCCATCATTCGCAGCACCTCTGCGTCGCGCGATGCGCGTGCGCGATGCGCGTGCGCATGCGCACGAAGCACGCCAGGCTTCGGAGGAGGCTTTTCTGTAGCATGTGGCCAGGGTGGGGCAAAATCCGAATGCCGGGCCATGCGCTTGGCTGGGCGTGCAAGTACATGCTACTTACTCATCCAGGTTAGGTTTCCCCTCTTTTTGCCAGCGTGTCTTGGCTGCGCAGCTTACGAATGGCAAGAGGCCATTGGAGGGGGCAAGGCATGGAACGTGTGAGCAAGTTTCGGCCTAAGACCTGTGGCGCCGGGCGGAAATGGCAGCACCTTTGCTCGACCCGCAGAGCCGCAACCTGGATTTGCGTGCGAATTTCAAGGGACCCGTGGACATCTCAGGTGGGATTGTCTACATGGGCGCAGTCCTCATGAAGGCTCGCGTGACTCAAAATTTATAGCTTTTGGCAGAAACTTGCACAGTTCTTCGGGCTAGCCGACCACAAGGTAAGCCCTATTTGTGGCCTGCACGTAAGGAGCCAAGGCATAACAGCGCAAACACTGAAAAAGACGGACGGCAAACAAGGCATCGATGCAGATTCGTCCGACAGATTTCATTGAGGAGCCCGTTCAACTTCAATGCCCAGCTTTCTTAAGCATATTTAAGCATGCTGCCCTGGTTGAGTCAGACCAAACATGATCCCGGACTGGCAGGTTTTGTGGGCGCGGCAGGGAAGAGGCGACAGTCGCCGCATCGTCGTCTGGCAACACCTGGCAATGAGCTCCTTAACAGGGATCCTTACATTATACACTTAAACATTGCAGGCGAGGCGGTGGTTGCATGGTGGTTTCCCTTTATTTTGGTGTTGAAAGGCCATGTTTCAAATGGTTGCAAAATGATGCAAAAGGCATTCCTTTAAGGAGCCCTGCTTAAGCCATCAAGTGTTGTCCAATCTTGGAGATCCGTCTTTTTGCAAGAACGCCCTAGGCTACAAGGTTTAGCCAAACTCCATTCCAGGCACCCAGGCAGCCTGTTCAGGGTTCTTGTTAGTTCTTGTTTCTAGTCCTTTCTGGCCTCCACCGTCATCGTGGCTGTGAAGAGCTCGTAGAGCAACGGAAAGGCTGCGTTGGCTGCGGGGCCTATGCGAAAATCGAGCCGCAATGCCTTCATGTAAGATCATGTAAGCGTCTTCGAAATTCGAGGTCCTTGGCCAGTCCCACCCCCAGCCGACTTCAGACACACCGAAGGTCCGCAGCCTTGAGATAAACAGGGACGTGACCATAGCTTGTTTCCTTGCCCTTCAAATATCCCACAAGGAGTCCCGGCTTTTGGCCCAGCCGGGCCACCCCGCCGAACATCGAGAAGAGGCCATCCAAGAAGCTCATTGCCTGCGCACTCACCGGCGGAGGGGAAAAAAAACACGCCACGCCGCGAGCAAAACGAAGAAAACACGCGCGAAACCGGCCAAACAGAGGCTGAACAAAAAATCCAAAGCTGTCAGGGGGAGGCAGGCCTCACCGCATCCACCGGTTACCTGCTTTAAGGTAACTTGGTGGTGTCCAGGCGTTTGGTGATGTGCTTTTCTGCCAAGAGCGCTTCAAAACCCACCTCACCTTTTAGGTACTGTCTCTTCAAGGAAGAGCGGTGATACAGTGTGAATACAGTGTGAATCCGCATCTGCAAAAACCCAGGGGACCCAAACCCAGATTGACGACTTGCCCCTTTCTGGATCCACAAATGGCAGTGGCTCAAAAAACCGGTACCAAAATGGAACCCTGGGAAGTGGAAACAAAGGCCAAAACCTGCGGTTTGCCCCTCCTGGTTAATTTTGAGCCACACTCAAATGAACCTGGGCAATAGGTTCCTCTTCCATCCACAGCTTGAGGGCAACTCTCTGCACAGTCCCTCCCGGCCCCTCCCCTGACTGCTGGCACGCCTCCACGCCACTCAAGTGCGACTTCTCTGGGCGGTTGTAGGTGACGTCGCCTGAATGGGTCAGGTGCTGACCCTCGGAATTTGCCTGGACTACAGCCGGCCAAGACAGGGGTCAAAGACGATGAAGGTGCAAGCGGATGCCAGACCCAACGGTTAGGCAACCGAGATTGAAACACTCGGCCCGAATCCTCAACGCTTCGGGCGCGAAGATTGCCCATGGTAAGCACGGCAGTCTGCATCAGTCCCTGACGGAGGGTCGAGGAGATGCGTTCAAAGAAGCCCACTTCTTCCGTGAAGGTCTTGTCACAAACCTCGGCCAGCCGGGTATGGATTCTTGACCCAACGGTCCCCGAAAGCCCTAGGCCCTAAGCCCTAAGCCCCAAGCCCTAAGTCAGAATGCCATGCCAAACTTGCCCTCCGGACTGCGCCGTGCCAATTTCGCCCCAGAGCCAACAGGCAGCCTCCAATCAGCACAGAGAGCAACGCGGCCGAGCGATCGTCTCTGGGGCGCTGGCCCGGTCGAAGCCGTCATCCAGCAGGAATGCCCCCAGGCTCAGATGCAGCTCTAACCTCAGCTTGGCTTGGAGTGGTGGTGAGGTTTGTCCCTCAACGAGAACGAGGGGTGCAAACCTCCAAGCCCCCAATCCAAACATCCAAGTGGGGGAAACCAAATACTAAAATGTCGAGAAACCCACAATACCAAATGCTAAGCTGTGCACCTTGACATGATGACATGGAGACACGCTTCGTGCCCCAGGTAGCACCAAATGGTTGATTCAACCTCCCCCCCCCCCACAAAAAAAAAAAGACGGGCTTTCGTGGTTAAATGGGCAATTCACGCGTCCTAACCCCTTCCCATGGCAAAGCGCCTTACGTCAACCTAGACCTCAGCGCATTTGCGGGCATCAACTCTCATACAGGCGCGCTCCTCAAACCCGCTTTGGTGCACTACAGCTGAGAGCTTGACGTCTCCTCGGTCGCCTTGAGAAGCTCCTCCCCGGGCCCGTCAAATGAAATCCTCATTATCCCTCATTCACCTGCCAAGCGCAACATTGGAAGTGAGGGAAGTGTCTTTTCTCGCTAACATGCACAAGGGACCCACTGTGCATACCTGACTCTTCATGCTCAAGAAGACGCAGGCAAACGCCCTCCAATCAAACCGTCAAAGAGCATGACTCATAAAACAAACAAAAACCTTTCCAATACCACCTCTTTGTCATGAGCCATCCTCTTTGCTTCCCCCCCTCCCCGGGTTTAGGACAGCGCGCCCCTTTTGTCCGGCTCTTCAGCGCCCGCAGCCCAGAAACGAGAACCGGCCGGTCCTGCAGGGCTTGCCTGCGCTGCGCCAGCTCTGGCAGCAGGCGCGCCCCCTGCACCCAAGCTGGGCATGTGAGCCCATGCTAACCTTCCGCCTCTGGGACCCCCGTGCCATTCAAGGACGGGACCCCATGGGCTTCCTTCTGCCCAATGGGACCCCAACCCCAGACCTCAGAAAGCTCCAGGCTCTTTCTGCCTAAAAGTCGGGAGTGCGGCCGACTGACGCTTGTCAATGAACCTGTACGGGATGTGCTTCAGACACATTTGGCCCTGGCACTCTACACCATCCATGTATCCAAAGGGATCAACCACCTACCTCGTATCCCTATGCAGCTTCTCTTTACACATTGTTCTCATCGAGACATATACTCACGTAGTTCTAGCTCATTGATTTGCGCCCCACCTAAATACAAAAAAAATGGCTTCAGCCGTTCCAGGCGAAAAGGGGACAAGCACCAATTTCAGTTTCCTGCCAACACGGCTGACCCACCAACCGCCTCTCCGAAACAAGGTTCCTGTGTGCATCTGCCGCAACTTTGCTTCAATACTCCCCCCATGCCGAAAGGCCCGCGTTGAGGACAAGGGGCAGAACCAAGCACGTGAGAGGAAGCTTCCAACTTGGTGCCCCATCCAAGCTAGCAAACGCAACCATGCAGGCATGAATCCGCCCATGTGCAGAAGCACATCTGCATTGGCAAAGTGGCCCCTGCGCGGATCTCTTTGCCATTGGACCACATGTGACCCACAACCTGATCTCCCAGCCATGCCATCTCCAGCGGCCTCAGGGCATCTGGAGATCAAGAGCTGAAGCTCCTGAACCACACCACAACTCCACCTGTCCCTTCCGAACCTCGCACGGGGTTGCCAAAACAAACTCACTGGGTGGGTTTTGGTCTATGCAAAAGTGGCGCCTTGGGCGAAAGGGCCCAAAATTCTTGAGAATTTGTCTGTGGCTTTCGCGAGCTCGCTTCCCAGACAGACAGATTGCTACTTGAGCGAGGCGGAACCAAGGCAAGCGGCAGGAACTTATTGCGGACGGTGACAAAGAACCTAGCATGGCAAAATGTGCCAAATGTCCCAAAACAAGCCTGCTGAGGAACCTCCTACTGGTGATGCAAAGCAACAACAAATATGGCGTGGGGTGTTGGGCCCACCCCCACAGAAGTTCAGGAGTGCTGGGGCACGGCTTCTTGAACCCTCCAAAAAAATCCGCCGCATGACGCCGCCCTTCCTTCCCATCGCACAGCCGTCCTCCTCTGGCTTGAGGCGGCAGCTGGCGCTTAAGGGCCTCTTGCGGACCTCAAAGCCCGCTTGCGGCACCCTCCCCTTTTCAGCCGGAACATGACGTGCGGGTCCGACCCAGTCCCCCTATAAAGGGAACATGCGGCAAACCAGGACCCCCCGAAACGTCAGGTTCCGGCCGTGAAACGGGCGAGAGGGTGCCAGGGCGATGAGGGGAAGCGCGGGAAAGCGTCGGAAGGCGTTTGTCTTCCAAACTTTGTGTTTGTCACTAAAATAGTCCAACCCCCAAAAGTGAGTAAAGTCCGAAGCGGAACTCAGTGAGCCTTTGAACACATATCCACCCTATGAATTTATAAACCCCTGGTGGCCTCTTTCGATCAGGTTCCTCCCGAAAAAATATCCGCAAGGTAGGCCCCGGGAAGCCCCGGCAGCTCCTCATGTGCTATGCCGGAAAACCGGCCAGATCTCATGCAAACCGCAAAATTACACACTGGATATAGCACAAGGCTGCCAACCCTGTTCCATCCCTTTCCTCGGTTGCCCAGGACGGACTTGGAAACACAAGGCGACCACCTTTTGGAAGCTTTACTGAAAATGGTTGCCAAATCAGAAAAGCCGAGTTTCACCTTAACCAGCCAAACCAAGGCTTCGGGCATACTCCAGCAGCAGCTGACTTGTGTCCCAGCCTCAGGCTGAGATCTCCGGAAAACGAGACAGCTTGCCCTGAGCGCCACTGGGTCAGGTCCCAGGTGGCGGCAAAAAGGTGGCCAGAACGGAGGTCATGCACCAAACCGCCCTGGACACCAAAAACCTCCATCCCGAAAGCTCCACACACTCGCTGCAAGTCGCACCAAGCAGCCCGGCGTGTGGCCACGGTGCCTTCAGTCGAGACTGGCTCATGCAGCACACGCGCCATGAACTCGGTTCGATGCCACTGACCGAGGCTCAAACAAGAAAGGGAACCTTCTCTCTCTCTCTCTCTCTGCCGTTGCGTCCAGCGGTTCTTGACTCAGCAAGGCAACGAAAAAAGTGCCCACTGATATTCAGGGGCACCCAAAACGGTTCCCTTCATGTTCATGCATTCCGCCCGGTGGCCGCAGAATCCCAAACACTACAATGATTGCTCAGCCCAACTCCCCCGGACCAAACAGCTTAAGGTCCGCAGTGCTAAGTTCACCAAGGCGACAAAGTTGTTCGAGGATCATCCAGTTCCGAAGCCTTATGCCATGCCCATTCACCTGCTTGCCTCCCAAGTTCGACGATGTTCAATGCATATAGGGCAGGTCCAAGCAATACGTGACTTGCTCGCTCTCAGCAGGGACTGAGAGAATGAGCCCTATTTTGAACCATGCCCTTTGGATCCCATCATTCCCAACACCTTGGGGCATTCCCTACCTATCGCGCCAGCAAGGTGAGCCATACCGTTTCTTTGAGGATGCCTTTCCAAGGCTGCTTCAAAGGAAAACCAACAGGAAAATCAGCTTTTTCTGTTTTTGTTCCCTTTTTGTTTGTGTGTGTGTATGTGTGTATTGTGTTTTTACTTTTTCTATTTAGTTATTTTTATTTTTCTTGGGGGGGTGTACTTTCACCAATACCCAAAAGAGGATGGTTTTACTTGAACCCTCCGGTTTCCTCGAGAGCTCCCCCCGAAAACCCGGGCGCAACTTCACCCGGGTGGCTGTATGGCTGCGTGGCCAAGGACAGGCGCAGACACGCCGCGGCGCAGTCGGGGTGATGGGCGGCCTCAGGCGCCCGGCTCAGCCAGAGTTGCCCAGAGCGATGGGCGTCTGGGTATGGCTCAAGATGCCAGAGCTAGGATCACACACACACACAGTTGTTGTTGGTGTTGTTGTTGAGGTTGGTGCTGGTTTGTTGGTGTCGCTGTTGGTGTTGGGGTTGGTGGTGGGGTTGGTGTTGGGGTTGGTGTTGGGGTTGTTTGTGCTTTGTTGGTTGTCTGTTGTTTGTTGTGTGTTGCTTGTTGTTTGTTGTGCAAGCGCGAGACGTCACTCGTTCCGATTCGGTCGTGCGCCGCGCCATCCCGGGCTTGCCGGCGGATGCCACCAAACACAGCCGCTCCCAGATCTGCCGTTCCTGGCGCGCATGCGAGCACACGGGAAGCGCCCAAGAAGCAACCAAATGGCAACCAACACACGTTATCTTCCACGTGGTTAAGGCCCCAGGCAAAAATAAAAATACATCCAGTAGTGATGATTTCCTTTGTTGAAACCAACAAGATTTTTTTTGTTTTAAATAAGACTTAAGCAAATGGAGGTTACACCTCAGGGGCCTACCTGTCTATGTCCAAAGTTCGCGTTCCGAACTGCAAGACTCAATGCGCCAAACACCCATTGGCGCAGATCTGGGATAGAGAAAAATGTAAGAAACATATGTTCAGACTCTGCATGTTCAGCCTGCCCTGTTATATAATATACCTTTAAATGGGTATGGGTCAAAATGAAACCACTTTCCCACACCCCCAGTGAACATCCCAATCCAACCACTAAAACAGGTTCTAAGATGGGTGGTGAATCCACCTTCCAACAGGGATCCTTACACTATACACCTGAACATTGCCTTGTTTTCTGTTGGTCTCCCTTGATTTTGGTGCTCAAAAAGCAACATGTTTCAAATGGTTGCAACATGTATCTTTTAAGGAGCCCTGTCCAAGTGGCTGCCACTGGACCGTGCCTCGCTGGTGCTGATCTCCGACACCGTGGAGGCCGAAGCTGCAGCCTGCTCGCGCGCGAGGGTTGGCCCCGCTAGGTCCTCCAGTAGAGAGGTTAGAATAAGTTGATACCCGATTTTTCTGCTGTAGTCTATTTTAGTAGGGGAAGGGTTGCACGTGACACACCAAACCCAAACCTCTGAGCGTCTTCTACGTCGTCGAAATGTCAAAAGAACACCACCATTGTACAGTTCTATTCTTTTGGGGGGGGGGGTCCCCTAAAAAGAAGGACACACCCCAATGCTTTCAATCTGCGTGACTCTCAAAGCAGCCACGAGAACCAAACCCATTCTCACCAGCTCCCAAGATGTTCAAGGGGGCCAGCTGACTAAATGGGAGGAACCCAACCAAAAGGCAGTCACCAAACCGAAAGGCAAAAGGCGGGTTGCAACTTGTTTATTGCATATCGGCTGATATCCGTGTTCGTAATCGGAAGGTGTCCTTTTGCTTGTCAAATTTCCACACAGCTTCAGTGCCATTTTTCCCGTAAATCCCCGAGGATGACACACGGATTTTTCGTGTGCACCTCCTCACATCAGTGGTTTGGTCCAAGGATTCCGTCGTCTTGGATGCTAGCAGCCCCCCCCCCGTGCCATGGACACTTAGAGCAAATGGTGCAGCAAAAGAAGGTTGCAAAATAGCAAATGGTGCCCAAAATTGAATGGTGCCCAAAAAACGGTCAAAAAAAATGGTGCCCAAAAAAAACAATACCCTAAATGAGGGAGGTTGCAAGAATAGACCCGAAGTATCCATCATACGCCCCCCCCCCCCCCGCCTCCGGGAAGTTCCAGGTGAAAAAGCGGCAAAGCCTTGGGAACCGACGGGAGTCCGACGAGCCTGGCTTTGGCGCCCCTTTGGGGGCCACAAAGGGCGGGAATCTGCAAAGCCCTGGCAGCATGGTACCTGCAAGGTGCCAAGGCCATTCCCTCGCAGAAAAAAAGGAAGACCCTCAGGAAGGAAGCGCAAGCGCGTGTTGGCGCTGAACAGGTCCTCACTTGGTCCACCGCGTCATGCAAGTTTCGCAGATCCATCCACTCAAAGGCTCAGCGCACAAAATGTAAGGCGCCCGCCTCCCCTCACCCGTGTACTCTTGGGAACCCCGCAGCAGGTAGAGGTTTGCCGCTTGGGTGGGCGCAAAGGCGAAGGACCCGGACAAGTGCACTGGGTAGCAGTAGTGGCCTTGCGGGGCCGGCTGAGGTTACAAAGGCAAGGACGAGGTCGACCCCGGGAATCAATGCCCTGGCATGCCATGTGAGGGCTGCTTGTCGTGCCAGTGCAGGGCTGCTTGCGTCAGTGCAAAGAACGTGCGCTTGACTTTGTTGAGCGCATGTGCACCTTTTCGCCTGGTCACTGTGCCTGCGCGGCATACCGCTGAGAAGCCAAGCATGCGCTGTCTTCTACTCGAGTGCTTCGAGTGGATTGCTCAGAAAACGTCACCCAACTGTTTGCTTGCCACTAAAATGGTCTTCCACTTCCTGATTGGTCACAAAGGCCACCGAAAACTCTTTGCTTACCACAAAAAATCGGTCCAAACCCGAAAAAAGTGACTCAAGCCCCGGGAAGTGAGGCGATTCCCAGTCCCAGGCGAAAGCGAACTTGGGCTCGGGCGGGAGCCCTCTGCCAGGTTGGCCACCCAAGCCTCCGAGGCAAGAGGCGAGGGTCCGAATGGCGCCCCTGTTTTGGTGGTTTTTGAGGGACACCCAAAGGAAAACAAGCAAAATTCTGGGGGCATCTGGGGGCGGTAGGTAGAAGATGACACCCTGAAGATAACCTTTTGGGGGTGCAAGCCAAAAGCTGACGCGTCTGGAGCCCTTCTTCTGTTCTCACTTTTTGAGAGGAAGCATCGGCAGATTCCAACACGGGTGCAGCATTGTTCTTTTTGGGGGCCCAAACAAGAAATGGCGAGGGTGTCCTTTTGAGGTTTCCCTTGGAGCCAACCAAAAAAGGGCACCAACTAGACAAATAAAAGCTTGGTTGCTGTTGACCCCCCTGCAAAAAGTTTAACTTTTTTGGGGGTTTAGTGGAAAGCCCAACTTGACTTCAACCCAAAAGTTAAAGTCTGAAGATCCAACCCAATAGCAGTCAAGATAAAGGGGCGCCACACCTGCGGGCTGTTTCCGGGAAGGCGACCCCGTGGACTCCGAACCCCGGCTGTCGACTCGCTCAAGGAGCGCGCCTGCTCGCCCCGCCGCAGCACGGGAAAGCTGGTCAAGAAGCCCTGCGGAGAGCCGGCCTCACGCGGGGCGATGTCCGTTGTCAAAGGGGCTCGGCGAATCTGGGAGTTTGCCTTTTTCTGTGCATCTTAATATATATATATATATATATGTACGTGTATATGTATGTATGTATTACATATATATTATCATATGTGTTAGACGGGAAACGTGGAAGGATCCTTTTTTGGGGTGGGGGGGGGATCCCAAAAAAAGCCCCCCCCCCTTTGAACGCAAGGACCTTTTGTAGCACAGGGTTTCTGAGCCATTCCCTTTCAAGGGAGCCTCCAAAAGTGGCCATCGTTTCAAAGGCAACTGTTGAAGGGGGAAATCCAGTGACCCCAATCCTTGATTCAAACAGTGCAATGGCTCCAATCCGTAAGCGGCAAACTCTGCTTCAATGAAACGTAAGCTGGCTCGAAGCGGCCAATTGACCTCGTTGCGCCAAAGTTTGAAGGGGCCCTCTTTTGAAGCCTGCATGAGTGCCCGGTTGGCAAGTCGCAAAACAAGTCAAGCGCTAACTCATTCCTGAGTAAACCGATCGGGTCAGGAAGCTCCAGACATCCAAGCTCGCAACGGTGCATACTCATTGTTGCCATGGCAAATGACGAAGCAAAGGACCCGCACGACCGATGCTCCAAGGAAACAAACCCTGCTTCTTGCCATCCCTTTGGTGCATTTTATGTAGAGGGACGGAGGGCCGCGGTGCCTCAAGCGGTCACCAACCAGGCAACCACCAATCAGTGACGCCGATTGCCACCACCACCGGCTGGCAGCCGCGGCCGGCCACCACAAAAACAAAGGAACGTGAACCTAGGCTTGCCTCTGGACAGGTGAGATCCACCCATTGCCCTCGAACTGCAGATGTTGGTCCAACTTGCCAACTTGGGGAATTCCCTCGCTCGCCTTTTGCATCAGGCGATGTTTTTCCACAACACAGGTCCCTCTATCCACCATCACGTTTGTCCAACGGATGCCGCACCTGTCCAGGGGTGCTTGGTTGCTAAGGGAGTCAACACACCACCTGGGGCTGCTGCCGGGCGGATGGGCTCTGCCAAGGCCTCATGGGACGAACAAACAAGTGCAAGCAACCAACATGCCAGCGGACATTCGTGTCAAAGGTGAAGCATGACACAATATATATATATATACATATGTATATATGTATATATAACTAAATGTATATATATATATACATATACACATACATACATATATGTATATAGATATGCATACATAACTATATATATATATGTATGTGTGTGTATGTATATGTATAAATATAAATATATATGCGTGTATGTTGCTTCAGCCACGGAAATCAAAACACGCCTGTGAGGCAAAGAGTACTGGTGCACGGCCCGACCCAAAAACGCGTCATGAAAAAACGTTCAAAGGCTGGGCGGCCGGCGGAGACCAGGATGCACTGCTCGCGGCTCTGATTCTGGAGCAACACCTTGGCCACCAACAGCTGCACCGCTACAAAAGTGGTCGGCCCAGAACCATGCTTCAAGAACTAAGAAGCCGGATATCCGCAGCTATTTATGGCAAGGGGATCGTCCCTAACCTTCACTTACCCGGGTGTTGAGCAAGTGGCTCACCTTGGGCCCCCAGAACCGGGCCAAAAACATCGCCCCACTAGGCTCAGAGGCGTAGCTTCCTTGCAGTTGATGGCAGGCTCGAACCTTCCACTCTTCGACTCTTCGACTCTTCGACTCCTCGACTCTCAGACCACACAGCCCGGCGATGTGTTTTTTCTTCCTCACGGGGCGATGCGTAGCACCTTCTTGGCATTCTGCGGCATGCAGTACCTGGCCATCAAAGGCACCAGCTTGGTGCTACGGGTTCTCTCTCTCTCTCTCTCTCTCTCTCTCTCTGCCGTTGCGTCCATTTGGGGTCTTGACTCAGCAAGGCAACGAAAAAGGTGCCCACTATTCAGGGGCGCGGTTGCCATTGAGGATTCCCGCACAGAAAGTGGCCCAGCCTGAAATGTTGGTCACCCGCGCACCCGCGCGTCACATCAGGCTGGTGACAAAACAGCTCGGGTGACTCGACGGAAACAAGCGACAGCCAAGGGGGTGCATATCGCCCTTGGCCACGACGCCACCCTCCCACTTGTCTTGGAGCAGGGCGTTCTCCTGGCGTTTCACGCGTGCGCGATGCCCTTCGCTTCTGTGAGTTTCAACACGTCTGGTGCCTTTATGCACGTTACTGTAGTTTTTGGCGCCCTATGATTCAACCAGAAGGCAGAAATGATGGTAATTTCAGAATCTGGTGCAAGGTCTTTTGAAACTTATGGCCATCTTCCTTGGCGCCGGAGAAACAAAAAATGTTTAAGCCCGCACAAGTGGTGTGGGTCGGCTCGCTCCATCTCGATGGGCAGCACATTGACCTGCCCTGTGCGGCACACGATCTGCAGCACCCCAGGCGCATTGCAAGGAATGGCGTACCTCGCGCCGTTTGCGCGCGGTGGTGCCGGGCGTTGGAGCATTTGGCGCCAAGAGTCTTCAAAAAACAGCCACTGACGTCACTGACCGGCTGCCCAAAACACCCGAAAATATACTTGTGTGATGTTTTGCTTTAGGGGGCTCCAAAGGTACCCTCGAAAAAGACATACATCTGACTTCAGGGATTCGCACGTAGGAGGCAAGCCGTGGTTGGACGCTAATGGCCGAGTGACCGCTGCCACTGCCATGGCTTCCAGGGTGGCAAAACCAAGGATTGGCTTATGGGTAGCCGACTGACTGGTCGATCCTACATTCTTAATGCAAGGAGCCTGCTAGTTGTCAGGGACAGCACCCAACCGCCGCCAAGCTTCACGTTGCCATCGCGACCCACAAAGCCGTTCTGCCACCTCAGCTACGGCGAATGGTCAAAGTGGGCACATGATCAAAGTGGGCACCAGGATGCCATTGAAGCACACAAAACAAAGCCTGCGTATGTGCTGCCGGAGCAACTTTTGCAACCAGGTGGGAATGGTCATAGAATAAATTGTTCCAGGCGTGTGAAATACAACACTAACTTGTTAAACATACTTCCTTTGAAGGGGCAAGGCTCGCCGACCCCATGTCCAAGTGTTGTTTATGATTGTGTTTCTAGATATATGCGCATATAACTGTATTTGTACAATCAGGCAAGCAAACAAACTAGAGGACGAGTGGCCCGGAAGCATGGAGGCAAGTTAGTTGTTAGCGATCAAGTAGTCTAGTCGCGACAAGCTGCACACAGACAAATTCCGCTTTTTGTCAGTAGCTCGAATATGGTACTAAAAGTTGAGGAATTTCATGCACTTCTCAGTGCAGGTTCTCCCTGCTCATCGCGATCTTGCCCACCATCATGTCGCGCGTGTAGATCGAGTGGCTCGGCATGTGGATCTCGATGATGCATACCATGCTTCGGGCGGCTCCAACATGAACAAACAGGCAGCAAGCAAACTACCGCGATGTTGATTAGCGCTAGCTTGAACCAACCACCAGGCGCGTGGTGCGGAAGGCGAGGCGGGGGAGAACCAACACCTGAGGCACCGTGGAGAAACCACCACCACCTGGGCGAAGCGAAACTGGAGCGAAGCTCCTGGACATGCAGGCAACTTACAAATGCAAATGCAGAAGTGTGGCACGGAGGTTGTTCAATCTGCTGATGTTGTCCGGCTTCACTCGGCTTCCCTTGGCTTCACTCGAGTGCAACAGCGTGCAGGCAGCACAACTGCTCAAGCATGTTATGTAGGTTGTTCAATCTGCTGATGTTGTCTGGCTTCACTCGGCTTCCCTCGGCTTCACTCGACAGGCAAACGTGGAGTCCACACTAAGCGCTCAAGCATGTCACGCAGGTTGCTCAATGTGCTGATGTTTTCAAAGTGGCAGCATCGAGGAAGATCGCGAAGCGCATGTTAAAAGATACGGCGGCTGCATGCTGCGCGCGAAGCTGTGCGTGGCGGCGGTGTGTGATGCTGCGCGCGATGCTGCGCAGGACGTGGGTGTGACAAAACAAGACTAAAACATAACACAGTAATAAATCACACGCGCCACATGCCCAGGTGCTTGAGAGCCCCGCCGCGCGTCAAGCCGGAACATAGGAACTGCTCCGCAGCTAACTCTACGCGGCAAAGGGCGAGAATTGCTCCGCGCCAGCTTGAACCAACCACCAGGCGCGTGGCGCGGAAGGCGAGGCGGGGGAGAACCAACACCTGAGGCACCGTGGAGAAACCACCACCACCTGGGCGGAGCGAGACCGGAGCGCAGGAAACTTACATAACGAGGTCTCAATGCAAACGCACAAGCGTGTCATGTAGGTTGCTCAATCTGCTGATGTTGTCCGGCTTCACTCGGCTTCCCTTGGCTTCCCTCGGCTTCACTCAAGTGCAACAGCGTGCAAGCAGCACAAATGCTCAAGCGTGTCATGTAGGTTGTTCAATCTGCTGATGTTGTCCGGCTTCACTCGGCTTCCCTCGGCTCCACTCAAGTGCAACATCGTGCAATGAGCACAAATGCTCAAGCTGCTGATGTGAGTTGTTCAATCTGCTGATGTTGTCCGGCTTCACTCGGCTTCCCTCGAAGAGCAAAACGTGGAGTCAGTGCAAGCGCTCAAGCGTGTCACGCAGGTTGCTCAATGTGCTGATGTTGTCTGGCAGCTTCTCTTACCAACTTTTCGAGAATTACTTCGCCTGTCGCCTATGTTGCTTCCGGGCCACTCGTCTGCATGCTGCGCGCCAAGGTGTGCGTGGCACGGTGCGTGACGCTGCGCGCGATGCTGCGCATGCTGTGGCATATGATGCTGCGCGTGAGGCTGCGCGTGGCGGACTTTGACTCGAGCGTGCGTCGCGCCGGAGTTTTCCGCCTGCGCACAAGCAAGAAGCAAAAGCCTAGAGCGCTCGTGACTCGCTCGCATTGTTGTTGCTCGTCGCGTGCGAGGCGGGTGTCACGCACTTGCAGACAGTCTGCCACTGAGACAACAGAGCTTCGAAAACATTCGCCTGCTCGTTGCACTCAGCAACAAGCCGTGCATCACTACCTGCGCGCTCAGTCTCTACTCACTCACGAGGTAATTATGCTGACCGGAGGAGTCACAAAGATCACGCTCGCCAAGGTCGTCCTTGCAGTCGCCGAAGTCTAACCGCCAAGAAGTTCGACTTTGCTCCACCGCGTACAGAGCCCACAGCACGTATCTCCGATGACGCCATGGACGAAGGCCAGGGCGCTTCTCGAGCAAGAGATCAATTGCGCTCGCAGCAGAAAAGCCGTAGGCTACAATGAGCCACGCGCAGAGCGCGCCAGCGCTGCGTTTGATGCCGCCAAAGCAATGGAACAAGACTTGCATGTCTTTCTTTTCGCAGACGTGAAGTTTGGCCAACCTCCAAAGCTGGCAACAGAGGTGCTTCCAATGCGTGAAGCAGTCCAGAGCACACTGCCGGAGCTGGTCCGCGCTGTTGCGCGGCTGCTTTACAGTCCAGTCCTCTAGGTGTCCTTGGAGATGACGAGCGCCAAAGTCTGCGAAGCCCTGGCAGCGCCAGCAACTTCAAGGACGCCAGGGAAAAAAATCCGCCTGCGCCGCACAGACCGGAAGGTCCAGGAGCTGTGGAATGCAGAGCCAGTCGGCGACGTTTCGGAAAGATCCGCCTGCGCCGCACAGACCGCCCGCCGTCCATCACAGCTTCAGCTTTCCAAAGAAGTCCACCAAGTCATCGTCAAGCGGGAAGCCATTAGCTCCATCTAGCGCCCATTCTTCTGCGCCCTTGCCGCAAGAGGTGCAGCCAACATCGAAGTCCGGCGAGTCAGCAAAGAAGCGCAAGCATGTCAGGCAGCGATCCTCCGCTGCGTACAAGAACAAGTACTCCCTCATCTTCTTGGCCGTCTTTTGGCCGTGCTTCTTGAAGAACTTCTTGCAGTGTGGAGCGTGAAAGCAAGGTCCCACATCCACCGGAGGATGCGGCGCAGCCTTGGGCGCAGAAGTAGAGGATGCCGACTTGGAAGCAGGCTTTGCCGATGGAAAGCGACCAGTTTGCCGGTATCCCCATGGATCCTCTTCGCCAGCAGCACGCGGCTCTTCACGGCGGGAAGAGGCAGCGGACGACTGGTCTCCTTGACGAAAATCACGGAAGTCGTCCCAGGCTGCCAGGACAGCTCTCACTCGCTCCGGATCCACCTGCGGCGTGCAGCTGTTGGCCTGCTTGTCAGGATGGTTCTGGCGAAGCCACTGGAAGTACTTCTTCTTCACGTCTGCGAAAGGCACCGTGAAAGCATCCACGTTCTCAAAACCCAGCTCTGACAACAAAGAACCGAAAGGAGCCATGGCTGCAAATGATGCGATGTATCTTTTTTCTACAACTCGATAAATCAGGTCGGGAAGCCGTGTCGCCCTAATCAACTGTCGACGCAAACATTCTCTGGGCAAGCTCCGCTACTGAGACACTCATGACATCCAAGCTTCGGCTACTATTGCTCTTGTCAGCTGCCTATCACTCCAAAATCCAACTGCGCATGTTTATTTTACAAGCCAATTACAAAAGCCAACTGCCCAATCTCACTTCACAAGCCAATGACAACTGCCAACTGCCCAATCTCACTTCACAAGCCAAATGCACTGTCCCAAAACACAAGCCAAATTTTCGAGTGTTACTTCACTATCCTAAAACGCAAACTAACTTCTCGGGCGTTTCTTCGGCATCGTAAAGCGCACGTATTTTTTTCAGGCGTTACATTGCAAGCCGACTTTTCCTTTTCTACCTTCTCTTCTCGATTCTGAGTTCTTTCTTCTTTTTCCGGCGGAGCTGGGGAGACGCTCTCCGCGCCGAGATAGGTCCGCAAGTGCTTTGTGCAAGTGCTCTGTGCAAGTTGCTCTGCGCAAGTTGCTCTGCGCAAGTTGCTCTGAGCAAGTGCTGCCGGAGCTGTGGGAATGTACTTCGCGTACTATTTTTTTGTACTTAAAAGTTGTGATTTTCCAGCCGGAGCTGCGGGAGTGTGCTCCGCGTACTACGTTTGTACTTAAAAGTTGCGATTTTCCAGCCGGAGCTGCGGGAATGTGCTCCGCGTACTATGTTTGTACTTAAAAGTTGCGATTTTCCAGCCGGAGCTGCGGGAGCACGCTCCGCATACTACGTCTGTACTTAAAAGTTGCGATTTGCCAGCCGGAGCTGCAGGAGCACGCTCCGCGTACTACGTCTGTACTTAAAAGTTGCGATTTGCCAGCCGGAGCTGCAGGAGCACGCTCCGCGTACTACGTCTGTACTTAAAAGTTGCGATTTGCCAGCCGGAGCTGCAGGAGCACGCTCCGCGTACTACGTTTGTACTTAAAAGCTGCGATTTTCAAGCCGGAGCTGCCGCGGACCAGGGGGGAATCGAACCCGGGACCGCGGGATTGCGAAAGCAGGCGCGCGCACCACGAGACAACTTCCAAAAGCCGTTTCGCGAGCAAGAAAATCGCACGGCGCCACAGCGAGAGCGCTTCGACACGCACGATCTCCGCAGAGGGTTCGCCGGGCTCAAGACAAATTCGCACGGCGCCACAGCGAGAGCGCTTCGACACGCACGATCTCCGCAGAGGGTTCGCCAAGGTCAAGACAAATTCGCACGGCGCCACAGCGAGAGCGCTTCGACACGCACGATCTCCGCAGAGGGTTCGCCAAGGTCAAGACAAATTCGCACGGCGCCACAGCGAGAGCGCTTCGACACGCACGATCTCCGCAGAGGGTTCGCCAAGGTCAAGACAAATTCGCACGGCGCCACAGCGAGAGCGCTTCGACACGCACGATCTCCGCAGAGGGGTGCGTTTCGTAAGCTCCCGTCGGGCCTACCCCCGCCATAAAAAGAAGAAGAATTAAGAGTCGAGATGTGAAGGTAGAACAGAAAAGTTAGCTTG